ATCTCAGTGGAAACACTAAAACACAGTCTAACAGTCTAAACTCTGTTAGCCCTCTCTGGAGGGTTCATTTCCACGCAGCCATTTTTATTCCAAATGTTAGAGAAGACTGGGGCCAGCGGTCATATTCATAATTCCTACTATGATTACTCTCCTTCTTTTCTTGCGTAACACTTGCAGCAGTTTTCTGTCCAGTCATCGGGGCATATGAAACTTTCTCTTTCACTCTTGGCCACAGTAGCAGCACATGGGTTTGGCTTGGGTCTCTCACAGTTCCCAAACTCATGGTCACACCACCACATCCTGTTAGGACCATTGCCACAAACGGTTTTTTCACCTTATGAGTATATGAGCGTAGATTATGACGTGTTAAATGCAACCATTAGTGTTGTGGATGTAAGCAAGGTCCACAGAGACCTACAGAGGAAAATTGCAATAAATTTTCAGCTCAATCAGCTGTTGTAATCAAACGTTGTATTTGATGTCATTGTTCAGGTTTTTCTTTTGTTACCGCTGCATCGTGGTAACATTTGTAACCTGGGTTACCCATTTTTCCTCATCTCTTCTATCTGAGAGTGCGTGTAACAATGTCACATGTTTGAGGGCAGGACTAGAAGCAGACTCTCATACTGACATACTATAAAAAGAAAGCAGTCAGACATGCAACACAATCACAAACAAGCTGCTTACAGAGGGACAAACATGGACAGCACATATGCTCTGCTAGGTAAGTACATGGAAACTAATAGAGCTGTTTTTAGCATTTATGTTCTCTTCTCGATTTCTTTGGTTGTTTTGTTTTTGTTGTTTTTATGTTTTTATTATTATTTGTAGAATCTGATCTAACATATTCAGTCAGTAATTATTTTCGGGGTTTTTTGATGGTTTTTTTTAACTAGAGATTGAAAATGTGACGTCATTCGGGGGTAAAACTGCAAAGGATTCTGGGAACTCGTGGCGAGAGGTACTAGCGCACGCAGGCTTTCAATTGAAATCAGTTACACAGCGATAAAAAGAAACACAAAAAATGTCAAGAAGCTGTTGTATTATTAACTGCAATAGCCGGTCACATGACAGCCACGGGAAGCCGACGGTAAAGAGATCGTTTTTATCGGATTACGTCGTTGAAGAGAAATTGTTCGAGCCACGTTTCCGAGGTAACAAAGAGGCGACAGATGGCCTGGATTGCAGCCACTCAAAGAGCAAATATAACGTCCCAGAACATCCAGCTCACAGGTTAGTCTGCTCCAAGCATTTCCACAAAGGTCAGTCTTCTGTTGTAGTTAATACGTCATTTTTCATAACATAATTGGTGATATAGGTTACAAGCAAGTCTGGCGCTGAACAGAAATTGTCGCTCCTTTGTTTATTGT